TCTCAAATTGGTATTTTCAAGTTAAAAAAAGGAAAAGCCTTCAAAAATGAATCTGAACCTGTTTCTCCTTGAAAATTTTTTCCAATTAAATTAATTTAAAACGCATGAAGAATCTTTCATGCCCTAAGATCCTGAAACATCCGGTGTCAGCTGCAACCAGCCTCGGCCGCGCTGCTCCAGCCCTCGCTGCAGGCGTCTCTGCTTTGAAGCCTTTGAAGTGTTTGCGGTGCAGGCGAAGGCTGCAGAGAAAAACAGGCATTTCTATATATATTTAATGCGTGAAGTGCAGGTGTGTGGGTGTCAGTGTATACGTGTTTGTGTTAGGATAACATATATGTGCACAATGCGAAAGCTGAGAGGGAAAAGCATTGATGGATGGGGAAAAGAAAAAAAAACATCTTCCTTGCTGAGGACATCAGCACAGTGGGTTGAGCAGCAGTCCCAGCACCCTGGGCTGCCCCAATCCAGCAGGTTTTTCACCCAAGGGATGCTTAAACTTCCCCTGCTCAGTGGCTGCTTTTTTTTATTTTCTCAAGCATTTATGAAGCCATCATTAATCTAGTCAGCCAAGGTCAGGCGCGATTTCTTTTTTCCCTCTGCAGTCCCTAAAGCTTTAGGAAGCTCCAACCTGCTCTGCCGTAAGCAGATGTTTAATACTGACCACTTGGGTTAATTAGGAGGGATTCTTTATGGTACTGGTAATGAGCTCTCCTGCAGCATCATGGGGAGGGCTGTGGAGCATTTTTTTCACATTGTTATTTCTTTTTCCCAGCAAACATTTATGTAGTCATGCCGCTTAAACCAATGGGTTTTTTTGGCTTCAACCAAGCGTTCTTGCTACCGTAAAGGCAGCATTTCGGCTCATGCAATGAGCACGGCTCAGCACCGTGTCCTTTACTGCTCCCAGTGAAATGCAGTGCAGCATTTGGAATATACCTTAAGCATAAGCAATGCTCGGGAATAGGAGAAGAGCAAATTCCTAGGAACAGGCTGAGAGGCTCTGGTGAGTATCCGGCCTTGATTTAGACACAATGGGAGAGGCCATTCGTGGCCATTCTTCCCAAGGGAAAGCGAGGTGAACGGACTGGAAAACAAGCACATTTCTGCAAACAAACTTTTTCAATTCACTTGTTTTTAAATTAGTTGGGCAAAAAAAATCTGCTTCTCAAATCTCAAGTACTCAAAAGACTAAAAATAGATCAGTGGAATAAATAAATTAACCCAGAAGACAGGAGTGATGCTCTGCAGGCACCAGGGATTAAACAAACTCACTAAATTCAAAGTGCCGGTCTAGATAAGAGCGCTTTGTGCTGCAGCATGTACAGCCTATTGATTCGGGGAGGGAGGTGCTGGGCACTCTTGTACAGTGAGCTCTGGCTGATACGACTTAATCCTGCACTAATGTACAGCCTGGTGCCGAAAGCATGGAGATGCCTTCTATTTACTTCTTTATTTTAATTTTGTTTGGGCTTCAATTTGCTCCTCTGTCCCCGCTCCCACCTGCTCGGCGGCTGCTCCAAATGTGCTGATTCAGCAGTGCACAGGCCGGGCCCCGGCGCGGGAACGTCGAGATCTGGAGATTGGGGATAGAGCTGGAGCTCCTCCACGTCCCTCGGGGCTGGGGAGCGGGGAAGGAGCCTCTGCTGCCCAGCCCAGGTCCCAGCTGCAGGTTCTTCCAAGATGCTCATACATTGGACTGGACCTGCCATTTTACCATATAATTTACCTAGGATGAGAAAGGAAAAGACCTTCCTTCCGGCTGCAGACGTCAGGAGAACGCGGTTGAGCCACTTCTGTGACATCCAGGTCTTTGGGGACTCCTTTCCTGGCCTATGGGGAGAAAAGTGGATCTGACCAAGGGGAACCCAGGGGAAATTCTGGGATTTGGCACTGACACCAGTGACACCGTCTCACCAGAGCGTCTTCCCAGGGTGTCCCAGCAGTTTTGCAGCTGTGGGGCCCAGGAGCCAGCGGTGCCACCTGAACCAAGCGCCGACACCTCCAGTGGGGACCTGCCTCAAACTACCCTTGTGTCTTCAGCACCTGACAGTGGCCTCGTCCATCCATCGTTAATCGGCTTTTCTTAGACCGGGCGATACCTTTTTTCACCAAAATCAAGGCTCTTAACCTCAAGACATGCAACCTCTCCTACGTAATGCTGCCTCCTGACTGTGATCCACACAGCCTCTGTTTTGACACCCAAGATCATTAATATTTCCGACACTCTGTTAAGTAAGTAGCAAATAAAGCAGGAAGTGTCCCAGATGTTGGAAAGAAAAAATGGAATTATTCATTGCTTACTAACATCAAATGCTAATGTGAGAAAAGCATCCTTGAGAAGATCCTTGACTAAAATTCATCAGAGTGATAAGAAATCACTATTTTAATTATGCATTTTTGAATGCATTAGTCCCTGTTCTGATCTGATTTACAGATGTTTAGCAGCGATAAGAATCTACTAGAGTCTCCGGAATTATTTGTGATTTACAGTGACACAATCCGGATGAGAATTAGGTCCTTGTCACTAGTCTCTCATAGCCTTTCCTCTAACTCCTTCACCTCAAACAGAGGAGAGACTGTGGTTTCCATAATTTCAACCCATACCATTGAGTCCACCAGCTTATTTCCAAAATTTCCCCACCAGAAACAATGATTTTTATAGAAAATTAATGTACATTATCACAGTACACTCAGTAGCAAAGTTTTAAAACTCCTTTCTTCAAGAATGATTTAAAAATCCTACATTTTTGGGAAGAGTGATTGAGTTTTGAACTCCCACTTGTTCTAGAGCTGATCCAGAATGAGGATCAGCCTCCAGGGAGGATTCACTCCTGATGGCATGAATGCATGATCAAGCTAAATGCAGCCCATAAATGCCTTGATGATATTACACTAAATTTTTTAAAGAACAGATGGAGAAAGTTAATAAATATTTCATTCTATAATATAAAACTCACTTCCATATTCACAACTTCAGGGATCCTTAGTTTCACAGATATCAATAAGTCTGATGGATTTCTTGCTACATTCTCATACTTCTGCCCTAGTGTCTCTTATGGGATCATCATTTCTGCATGCTTGGATTGTTTTATGGGATCAGTGAAAGGCAAGTGACTGTAAATCTTGACCTCTTCTGCTCCTGGATTATATACTTTTATTCTTTGTGACCATAAGTGTTCATCTCTACACTGAATAGATAATTAAATGACAAAAATTATTCAAAAGCAATTTATAGTGAGAAATTATCACTTGAAGAACTGTTGGGGCACAGGCATAAAGCAAGGCGATACCACGAAAAAAGCACTTTAAAATTGCCAAATAAAACATTGAAATATATGTGCATTTGTAAGTGCCGTGAATCATCTACTCACCGGAAAAAAAAACATGCTTTTTAAGTGTATATGCCAATTCTATTCAAACAAAATTTCCATTAATGGAAATTGTGAATTTTAATGAACTGTGAATTTTTACTTAGGAACTGCTGACCAAGCCGTATGAAAGACATAATCTGTACATGGGAGAGTGACAATTTCTCACTCGGTTCATGCCATGAATCTTGCAAAAGAATAATTAGAACTAGCTCCAAAAGAAATGCCAGACTCAAAAAATATTTTAGGAAGAGATTTACCAAACTTTCTACACTGCCGACAGTTTTCACTATTTCCTAGAAGAGATTTACATTACATTATTTATAAAGTATACTGAGTCAACAGCATGACATAAAACTTACTTAGAAGATATATGTTTAGCACAAACTATAACACTCATGAGTAAAGCATGTATTTTTAGTAAGTTTGATTTAAAATTTATGCAGATCACTTCAACAAGCAGGGGGCCAACAAACTACTTCAAAGCACTAACCTGCAAAAGATGGCAAGATCAGATCTTGTCATTTCTCAAATATTTTTACAAACCGCCACATATACCGTATAAATTACCTCACCTCCTTGTACCTAAGTAGTTTTGTATAGAATTAACATGCATTACTTTTCCAGTCTGTCAATGCACACCTGAGCAATTGCAGGAATAGTTAAATGGCAAACACAGCCTGTCTTTTTAGAACGCCTCTTCTTGTAGGTTAGAGAATACGATACGGTCCCATTCTGAGCTGGCTAATAGGTACTACCATAAAAAACTAAATAATAAAATATTACTACTGTTCCCGTGCCCTTTCCTTCACCCATGACTGCCTCTCAGGTTTTGGATTATGAGTCGCCAGAAATCCCACTCCTCAGAAAAGACAGAGAGCAGAGCAGAATGGTTCCTTAAAGAAGAGCTATTTAATAAAAAGTTAAGTCTCATGCCACAAAAATTGGTTTATTCATGTATTGAAAATTAGGCCCAGGTACATTTATATCTTCAGAGTCAGGGCTTTTAATGAAAAAAAAAAAGTTTCTGATATTTCCCGACATGCCATTAAAATGGTTGTCCTTTGACGTCAATTAGAGCTAGCAGAAAAAAAAAATCATCCTTAATTGCTTTTCAGAACTAGACATTAGAGTGTACATCATTGCAGCCAGACTCAATTACCTTTTACAAGAAACAAGGATGCTGGGAATGGTATAAAATTCCAGGCCTCCTGAATATGCATGTGGCTGCGAGCAGTGGCCGGGTTGCTGCAGGGGAGCCCCTGCCTTGGGCTGCAGAGAAAACGGCCCCAAGAGCTGGCGCCTACGGCTGAAAAGCAGCATTTCCACCCCAGGCCTCTGCTCTGTCCCATCACAGGGACAGGCTAGCTACAAAACCCATAGACATGTCTGAATTCCTCCAAAATGTCAAGATTCTGAAGCTGGATTTTCAGCTCGGGGCTGGTTTCAAAGCATCAAGAGTCTGTGTGGTGAGTGCTCCAGCCTGACTCTTTTCAACAGTGAATCTAGTCATGCACCTAGGCTACCAATTAAAGCTACAAAAAAAGAGCTAGTCCTCAAAGCTGGGGTGTATTTCACTACAAGGAGCATCACCGATTTTCTCAGAGGCTTTCTGGGCGTTGCAGCTCTCTCTTACTCCAGGGACTTCATAATGTCTCTGCCAACAAGATAGAAGAGCAGTCCAGACAGCAAAACCAAGGGCACCCCCGCGGCGGCAAACATGAAGGACCACCCGTAGTAGACGTGCACGGGCACATCGTCCAGGCACTTCTCACTTCTCTCCAGGAGAACGTACTTCTGAAGGTCGGCTGCAAACTCCTTCCACAGCACAAACAGCAACACGAGCAGCAGATACAAGAATCCTAGGAAGAGAGACAAAGGGCAGTTACGCTCGGAGTGTACCCAGCACATGAAATAGAGAAAGGAAACTTGAGACTAGACTGCAATGGATCTCCACCTATTTGTGCCGTTCCCTTAGAGCTTAATGATGCAATATTATGACTCATAAAGTTGCTCTTCGGATTCCCATGGAAATGAAACCCACTCTGCAAGGGAGAAATCCACCACTAACATGATCTGCTTTGGAGCCATCAGCACATGCAAGTGATGCCACGTGCTCTTGGCACCTTGATGTCACCTTCTGACTGTGCCTGCTTGGCCTCCCAGGCCCAGGGCGTTGCTGAGGGCAGGGAGGTGGTTACAGTTGGAGATGGTAATGATGAAATTACCAGAAACACGGCTCCTCTTCACTATATGGTGATGCGTATTGCACTAATTCTGGATTCCCATTTTAGAGATGAATTGTTCTGTCTTTTTTTTCCCCTAAGATAAGTTATAGAGCGAAACTAAGACTTTTGCCTTTACCAAGAAGAAAAATCGACTACTCCAAGTCCTGTCAGGTCCAATTTCCACCAGAAATGTGAAGATATGGGGATTGTTTTGCTGGCGGCAAACTTTATTTGGCACAGAAACTGCTCTGGGCTGGAGATATGACCCAGCACCAAGCAGAATCCTCAGCAGACACTGGAGCGGCTGCTGCAGCCACTTGCGTTACTCTTCTTTAAAACCAGCTTTACAAACAACCATCAAAGCACATGGCAGTGAGACAAGAGGATCCTATTTCATGGAGAAATAAAACATAATAAAGTGAAACAGTCAGATAGCCATGATGTATTAATCTCAGATGAGCTATTTCATAATATAATGATAAACAGCTCAAATCATGTGACTAGAAAGTCTTTTTAAGGTACAACCTTGGCAAGTGATACTCTCTTTACCTCCCTTTCCACCCAGATGGCAGAACAGCAGAGGCCCCGCTCAGTTCCGAGCCGCAAGTTCAAGCTCAGGGGCTGCGTTAGGAAGGGGGAGGTCTCCGAGGTCTTGCAAGTTGCCTGTACCCAAATAGCAGATCTCTCCGGAGACTTCCCGGGCTCGTATTTCCATATTCAAACACGTAGAAGATTTCATGAGGTCAACTCTTACAAGATGGGTTCAGCTGCGTCTGAAAACCACATGGAGAGCACACACCTCCCTGACCTCCCGTTACCCAGGATGGATTTATGGAGGTATCTTAATAGGAAGCTTCTTTCTCCATAATTCAAAATGATGATGATAAGAGGATGCAGGTCTATCATCTCCCCTGTATGAAACAGGTGACAAAAACTAGTGTGGCCCCAGTATTATTTACTGTGTCACATTTAAGAATATATACAGCACATTAAAAACTCAACGTATATTTAAAACTAAATACTGATGGTGTGATGACAGAGCTGAAAGTACCCCAGTAACATCTGATATAGCTACTCCCATTTAAACGTTATTTAACATATATATACTCACATACACATATATCTGCATAGATATATGAAAGAAACACATCACAGATAATATTTTTATACTAGTGAACAGTTCGAAATTAATTGACATGTTACCATATAGCTCTGCTGGGGTGTTATGGCTTCTGTTGCATTTAATTTCTCCCTTGCAGCTTTTTAATTTAAGGTAGCTGGTACTGTATTTAATTATTCTTTCTGGCAGCTTCTAAAGAGAAAAACTTGGCTTCCAAGCTAAGCAAAGAAAAACAGGAAAGTTTGGCAGTGCAATATCTGCTTAGCAATGGTGGTTCCTCAAAGGCAGGTCAGAGACAGCATGTCAAAGCTTAACCATGTTTTCGAAGCATATTAGCAAATCTGTTGTTAGAAATTGCTGCTTCATATCTTGTAGCCTAAAACAAGAATTTTATGGTTTCGAAATAGTCTTCAAGTAATCCTCACCATATGTTCTGCAAAGGTTGAAGCTCTGCAGCCTGAGCTGTCAAGTTTATTGACGTGTCTCCTATACCCTAGGACATGACCTCGAATCTTAAGAATCCACAATTTGTGTAATCATACAAATATATTTTATATCCCAACACTCTGTTATTTCAAATCCTTCTTCCGAATATAGAAAAATCCTTATGTTTACTGAAAAGGCAGGCTAGCAGCTAAATACTAGCTGCTATAACACTCGCTTGTTCGTTAAGATTTTTGATACCACTTGAAATTAAGTGCACAAATAAATATTTTACACTTGATAGTTATATGCTGAAAATAGCAACTATAAGAAAATGATTGAATATTTAATAGTCACATGTTCTATACAGAATACAATATATTGATAAGAAGGCAATTAAGTCTTTATTACTGATGTAATTTAAAATTAAACTAATTAGATAGCAGCTGAACCTTGAAAAGTGCTCTTTTAAAGATCAATTTATATTTCATTAACTTATAATACCTACCATAATAGACAAATAAAAAAAGTCATCTCTGAGGGACACAAGACATGAGTACAATACATTATTTTCTAGAGCTTTCTTGCATCTACTTTTCTTAGGAAAAAAAAAAAGACCTTTTTTTTTTTTTTTGCATTTTTTTGTGAACTATTGAAGCCTGTTCTACATCCCTACAAGATGTTTTTGTGGCAGCCCCTGCTCCCTGTGTGTGTCTCTGCTGACCTTGCTCATGCTGGATGCCTCTGGTTCGCTCCCTTCAGATTCACTAGCCCTCCCGGCCCCTCTACTTACATCTTTCGGGGGAAGTTTCCCAAATCTAAGGGTACTACCCGAACCAGCATCGAGCTGGAAGACCTGACACTTGAGCTCCAACTATTCCACTGGCCGGGCTCTGTCCTGCACCAGCAGCTGATTTTTGCAGCTGCAAGAATTCCCATTTGTGCAGCCTCTGTCCCCCCATAAAGATCAGCTGAGATGGGCCAGTCCATAGGAAAAACCATGGGCCCAAGGAAAATCCCAGGCAAGCCAAAAACAATTTAGTCCCAGGACAACCGAGCTTGCCTACATCTCATTTATTTAGGAAATCAGATTAAAATCCACCTGCCCAGTTCCTAATTACAAAGGTGAAGGGACTTCAGGCAGCGGCTGCTGGCACAGGAGCAGAGAGAAGGAAACCTGGGGGTATCAACGTGCTAATGAGCCGGGAAGCAGCCCCTTCGGCGTCCCCAGGAGGAGACCACCTCTCAATATTGACGGATTTATTATTAAACGGGGACTGGAGGTGACGGCCCAGCCACAACAATGAGGCTAAATTAAGCACGCGCTAACACGCTGTGAAAAATGAGAAAAATCCTGCCAAGTGAATTCTGCTCCAGAAAACCTACGGCTGAGGAAGAGGAGGCCCTGGGATTTACAGGCTCGCAACAAGGAGGAAAGACATTAAAAAGGACAACTGAAATTTAGAAATAAAGACAGAAGTGCAGTAAGGAGAGGTGATCGAAAATGGGGGGCAACGTTTCCAATAACAAATGCTTTCTTGGAGAAACAAAAAATATTCATAAATGTGTCTAAAATTTGTTGTATTTTTAGGTAGTAAAAATGATCTGTCTGCAGTGAGAATATGAGGATGTTTTGCTTCCCTATTTTCAAAGTAAGTATTTGGCCTTTTTATTTTCAAACGATATTTCATCTTGGATTTTTCATGAACTTCTGCTTTAAATAAGTCTCACTTTACTGCGTCCTTTGGGGGACTTCCTGTTTCAGTACTAGCTGAAAGACATGTTTTTTCTATTCCAGTCACAATTTGCTTTCTATATGCATAGATTTCTTCTCATGTTGGTCAGCAAATTGAAAAAAAAAAATCCGTACTTTTTGCACAGCTCTACTGAGAACCAAAACTGGTGCCAACACCCCTGCCCTGGGCGCTGGGGAGCACAGAGGCCCTGGGGACATTGTGTTCTTCAGGTGTTAACTGCAGAAATCAAACAGGAGCGAATAAGAATTGATCAGACGCAGAGACTTGACATTTACACAGCAACTAGAATGCTGTAAAACGCTTTTGTAGCTGCAGGTGAAGAGAAGAAGAGGACTAGGTATCATGCCGAGCCGAGGAACCGCTCCGCGGTCCAGCGGAGGAAGCCACGATAATACACGGAGATGGTTCTGCTCCAGATGAGCCTTCTGCTAACAGCAGCATGGGGACAGGCTGGTGGATTAGAGATCACTTGGGCAGGTGGAAATTTCCTCCTGGGGAGGAGAGCGGTGGCGTCTCTGCTCTTGCGCGTCGGGTTTGGTAGATGCAAGTGATGGGTTTCACCAACAAGATGATCCCCGCGTCCCTCCCAACAGCCCTGTGGTTTCTGCTGACCACAAAATTAGCAAAGCGACCTCTTGCCTTCTCTCCCTTTCCCGTGTTGCCTTTATTCGTTAGGCTGGTATGGGAAAAATGAACTGTGAAACTTGGGCTTGATGCTGATGAGGTCAATGGCATCTTCTGAAGAGCGGCTAATAGCGAGAAAATTGAAGTGGGGCATTAAATCTTTCTCCTTTCACATAACTGACACCATCCAGGGACTAACTGCAAGACAACTAAGCCCTGGTGCTCAGTCTTCCCTCTCTGAAGGAGAGTTGCACCTTAATTGTGAGTAAATTGAAGTCTGTCTTTTTCTTCCTCTCACTTATATCCCTGTGACACCTTTATAGCTGCTAATTGTAGGGATAGGTGAATGAACTCAATCTTTAACTCTTATTCTCAGAAAGCTACTGAACTTTCATACAATCAGCTAATTACAAGAAAAATGAACTTTGACCATTAGCAACTTGTTTGCCTTTCTCACTAGTTACCTCATAGAGATGTTGATAAGAAGATGAACACTGACCTTCAGCAGAAATGTTAGCTGTTGTGGTATGCAAAAAGCCTGAGAACTGCCAGACTGGAGAATTCATGACCAGAGAAGAGGAACCTGAGCATAAGGTTCAACAGTTTCCAGCCACAAGACTGCCAAAAAGATTTGATTTTTTTTTTCCTTAATGGTGCAATCAGCGGTGTTGCAGAGGGGACTGATGTACTCACTATTCTCACTGTTTGCTTTGAAAACTCCCTGCGTGTTCCTCATCTGTCTGCATGGTTTCTTCAGGGTATCTTCCTTACTCTTGTCCAAGTTGTCAGGTTGATCTCAGGTCACTTCTTCACTTAACGCTACTTTGCAGCTGATGCAAGGTTCCTGCAGCGACACTGCAAGCTCTGCGCTCGCCCTACGTCTGGAGGAAGGACATCCTGGCTTTCAAACTTGGTTGCCAAAATGCCCAAAGGAAACAAAAATGGAGGAGCACAAGTACAGCAAAGTGGGCTCATCTAAAGAACCGAGGCACTGTTTCCAGAAGAAACAGTATTCACCCACCCTTCTTGGTTTCACTGCAATTATAATTAATCATATTGTCGTCTGCCTATTGAAACCAGCTAAAATTAGTCACCAGATAGTGTCTTTCTTCCTATTTCGATCTCCAAAGTCAAGTCTGAGTTGTCAGATGGTGGAAAGACAAGCAAGGGACTCGTTATTTGCTCATGCATCTCGGTCACTTTTGAAAGCAGCTTGGCAAGGATAAAGGCTGGTTGGTGAGATAAATGTACCAGTGCAAGAGCAGTAAATGTCAGGCAGGATCCGGCTGCCTTTCCTGAGTCACCCAGCAGAGGAAACCAAGGAAGATGGCTTGGTTTTTTTTGGAAAGAGCTCTCAGAAATACCACCCACTAAGCGCTACATTTGTTACGGTAGCTGGCAGACGACCAGGTTTGTCCTTTTGAAAGTACAGTAAATAAAGGGCATCTTGGAAAGAAAATCCAAGGATTCCGACTGAGCCATAAAAACTTCATCCTAACACACTGAACTCTCCACTAAAATAGAAGGACACACTAAAATCCTTGAAATAATTTAGAGCTGGAAGCCCATCTCTCCTACCAGGGCTGTCCTCGAGGAAGCTGTGCTCATCAGCAGCTCCATACAGTAAAACGTGTTTTGAAGGAAAATGCTCTGTTCTGCAAGCAAGAGCTGTTTCCGAGCTGTACAATCAGAAGAGCTGAACGTGAGTCTATGTGTGACTGTGATAGAGGAGTTGGAGCGTGCACCTCGCTGCTCTCAGTCAAACTAGATTAGCAATACGCACGCAAGGTCACCTTTCTGAAAGAAATCCAGCAGCATCTGGTTAACCACAAATGTGCTTGGGAGCATATTTACGCCAAGAATATCTTTCGAGCCTCTCAGTGGCTACTGCCTCATCGCTCTGCAATGATCAACCACGGCTCTCGTTTGGAGGTGGTTGGAGGCTGCAGAAAGGGGCTGGATCGTTTCCTCCGGCAGCATCCGCGGTCCCTCCTGCCCATCCCTCTCCTTTGCTCCCTGCCGGCAGCAAATGGGCAAAGGGGCTGTGCTGACTTGTGCCATCCCACAGGTCCCGTGGCTTCACCTGGATAGAGGGATGCGCGGGAAGCTAAGGACAAACCAGGGCTCTATTTTGGGGCACCTCAAGAGTCGGTGGCCGAAGCCTCGGGCAGTTTCAGTGCCCAATCTCGCCATCTAATTGCCAGACTACAGCCCTGCTCTGTGAAGTGCCAACCTTTTCACCCTTCCTGAAGATCATTTTTGCAAAGAGGTTAATTAACACTGGCCCACGGGCCATGATTAGAAGAGAATCTGCACTTTCTGCTGAATCATCACTTCACGTTCTGCCATGCAAAAGGGAGGAGCAGCTGGGGACTGAAGCCCTGTTAAACCTGTTGTTCCCACTGCTTGGGACAACTATGCAAAATATTTTTAGAAGGGGCAGCAAGAAGAAAACACAGAGTGATGAACACCCAATATTAGCAGAAAGTCTAAGTGGACTTTGCTGAAAACGCTGGAATACTATTGTGTTCTTTAGCTTTAATTTAGACAAAAATACAGCAGTAAGTTTCTTCCAACTGAATTTACTGCTCCTAATGGTAGTTAATAACAACGACTGCTGCTCCAATTGAAGCTGTGTTAATACAAACTCTGTTTCAACAGTGGCATCTTTGTCCAATGCCAAGAGCTTTATGTGCTGCTCTCTTGAAAAGTGTCAAACTTGATGTCCCAACCTTTTAATCAAAAACTGCAAAAACAATGAAAAAATGAACACAGTATTTCAACATTACTCTATTTTCTTTTCTGTGTGATGTTTTACTTCCAATTTTCTTTAAAATCTAGCCAGTGTCAGAATGGGAGAACTCTCATTTTTTTCCCATTTTGGCAGAAGATTTAGTGGTTTGAAGTAGTGCATTAATTGGGGTAACCACAGGGTGTCAAATCTAAGCGAATTCAAGTATGGCCCCAACCTCACAGCAAGAGATGACTTTAAATCACATGAATGTCAAGCTGCCAATGCCACTCACTAGAGGCACTGAGTACCTAATATGGCTTTTGTGGAAGACTTCTTGCCTTCCCAAATGGAACACCAGGTATATTTACCTTTAGAAAAATTAAACTCAAGCAAGTGATTAATAAACTATATATGAGAGAGATAAGCAGGTATCCAAAGGCTTGCTAGCCATTATTTCAATAACGAAAGACCTGGAGGCAAATGGGAAATTGGACAAAATGCAAAGTGAATTAGCAGAGGCAGGTAGGGCCACATTGATTTAGTGTCTTCTAGATTTTTTAGACAAATAGATAGATGTCATCTAGCTTCATCTGAACAAGCAGCACAGCTGGTGTCACATGGCTAATTATTAGTACATCTGGAGGAGACAGGGATTAGAAAAGCAGCTGTAAAACGGGCAGGGAGCTAAATAATGGGAAACTAGCAAAAGGTAATAACATAAGGGCATGATGAGTTTGGAGGCAGTTTAAAAGGAGTGCTTCCAGGGTCGTTTATCAGACCTCGTTTGTTAAATATTTTCCTGAATGTTTTCAGTGGAAAAACTGGACGCATACTAAAAGCCAAAACTGGGAGCAAAGGAACTGGCTCTTGTTTGATTCCTGGTGTGTTTGAGGAAGCAGGACCTGGTGCAGGGTCCCTAATTAACTGTAATTGCTTCAGAGAAAGGCCTGACTTCATTATGAAGGTCTTCGGTTGGCATGGCTCATCTGAGCTTCAACCTCTACCTGTTTAGACTGCAATAAAGATGTTTTTCCCAGTTTGAATCACAGTTATAAATCAATTTACAGTTAAGCCAGTTACCCATTCTCTTTCTGAGAAAAGGAAAGAACCCAACTTATAGAAAATGGTGATAATTTAGTGGAATAACTGGCAATGTTAATGGAGATAATGACTGCTTGTCATTTTTTAATTCATTTTCCTGCTTTGATACTGCTTTATCTTTGCAGATGAGACTAAATATGTCCTCCAATTTTAAATCATTGGGACGTCCTTCCACTGAGTTTCCAGCTCTATTCAGATGCTAGGAAGAAACACAGGAGAGGCCCAAACATGAAGGCTGCTTGCAGGAGTGGGACGCAGCTCGCTAATGCCAGGGATGCTGTGGCCATGGACATACAGAGCTCTGCACCTCGGGGTGCTGAGGAGGCCCTCAGCTTGGCAGCAGCAAAGGAAAAAGCCTATTTGCCAGCCCCAGACCCTACAGCTACGGAACTGCTAAGGCTTAGTGCAGCACAGCAGCTTATTTCTGTCCAGGAAAGAGGAGGAAATCGTTTATTTAAGGTCGGTGCTTCTCCTTGGAGCTTTCTCCAGGAGCGCCGCCTCATCCGTGCGCCTCCCTCCGCGTCCCGGCCACCCGATTCCCGGCGCTCGGCAGCTTACCGGCGGCGAGGAGGAATCCGCCCCCGGCCTTGTAGAAGCGGGGGCTGCCGAAGGGCACCCCGCACACGAGCAGGAACCCCCCGACCAGGCCGGCCGGCCCGGCCCGGGGGAGGGACCGCCGCCCAGGGTGATGAACGCCGTCCAGAAGCCTCGGTACACTGCGCGGGCGAGAGGAGCACGGTCAGCGGGGAGGAGAGGCGCCCGCGGCGCCGCACCAGCCGTCGGAGCGCGCCACGGCACACGCGCAATAACCTCGCTGCGATGGACACTGCGATTAGGAGGCCAGAACCAGCTCCGGGGGTTGCGTGTCAAGCCCCAAATAATGGGTCTGGACCCAGTGCAAGAGGTTGAAAGGGTCAGTGAGGGAACCATGTCACCAGCGAGACATGCGAGAGTGAAGGATGGGACGGGATCCACTCATTCCCATCTCCGAGTTGCCTTCTCTTCTCATCCCTACCCTAAAGCTTGGCCAAAGGCAATGATCTTCAAGGGAAAATGCTCTGGCATCCTGCTCCCAATTCCCCTGACATCTCCAGTCCTCCTGGCCTGTCCCCTCTTGCTCTGCCTGCTGCTTTTCAGAAGGAAAAGTCGCAAGGACTGGAGCTGAGCATGAGCAAACAAGTCATTCTGATTCACACTTGGAAGAAATACGATAGAGGGAAAATACATTTTGCTCATTTCAAACCATTTTGTCAGAAGAGCCACTTAGAGAAAGGTAAGTATCTTCAGCTCTCCAAAACCACAGAATTCATTTTCATGTTTAACCTCGCATCACCCGTTCCTCTTGGGGAGCCTGAGAGGTTGCAGAGCAGCCAGAACTGACGCTGCAAGAGGAGACTGGAGGGCCCCTCTTCTTGCATCGCTTTGGTGATAATTTACGTGCCAATATGGAGTGGTTTAAAGGAAGCGAGCGAGGCGCACGGGGCCGGTGGGTGCTCCGTGGCTCGGGAATGCTGCTCCCGCCTCTCCGGCCGGGCTCCCGCAACCGGTGGCAGAGGGATGACTGAGAGGCTGCACTCGGGGCTCGTGGCAGGGCTGACAGACAGGGACAGATGGCTCAAAAGGCTCTTCATTTAGTATGGAAAAATTAGTGTGTTTATTAGCAAGATCATTCAGAAATTAGACATCACGAGTCTCCCACACGTGAAAAAAATCGCCACGCTTAACCTGGATGTTTGTTATACAAAGCCTGGAATGGGCTATTCTTTTAACCATTGACAAGTTTCTTGTATCCGTTTTATATTGCAGCATGTTCCCCGAGGCAGGAATCTCACACAGCAGAGCAAAAGAAATAGCTACTCTACCTCAAATGCTCCCACTGACAAATATATTTTTTTAATTAATTCCTCATAAAAAAATAAAAATAAAAAGGTACTGCTAAAGGCTAAGGAAAAGGTCAAGATGTTTGTTTGTGCAGCATGCCAGCCCCAGATCCCCAGAGGCAACGCAGAGTGATGCACACTATTTAAAGAAATCAATTCATTTCAAAAAAGATCATTGAATTAATTCTAGCTGCTGCCACCAATTTAGCAAATTAAAATTCCTAACAGCAGCTGATTCATTAAAGAACTCTGAAAATATGGAGAAACATAAATAAAAAGGGAACCGGTTGAAAGGAAAGCTCTCCAACCGTGTTGTATTTGGTGCATTAAGAAATGAGTCTCTCATTTAAGTGGATCTTCTAAGAACTTGGCGTTCAACTGATTTTGCAATGATTTTTTTTATCTCGCCTTGTAACAAATCTGCACCAGGGCTCTCCCAGGTGCAAGCCCAGCCCAGGAGCAGTATTTTATTCCCTCACCTCTCTGCTTGGCCAGGTCCAGGCTCTGGCTTTGGTCATGGAGCAGGAGCCCGTTGCCTTGGTGAGAGAGATGGATTTAGTACTGTCCCTCACCATTGGGAGTAGCTGCTGGGGCAGCTTTGATTGCACTTTCCTCTTCTTCCCCAAAATAAAGGGTGGTGAGGAGCTGTGCTCCCCTAGGAGACACATGGAGTTTCACCATTGTATGGGATTTATGAAATCCTCCGTTCTGTCTGGTTTCGTTGTGGTTGCAGACCCAACTGCTCCCCTTGCCCTGGCTGTGGCCAATGGAAGTAGCTGGTGTACAGCCCACAAGTGCCATTAAATTAGGGGACTAAACGGTGTCTGGCAAACTCTTACACAGAGTGCAGAAAGGCAAATACGTTCTTCTTCTTCCCCACACATTTGCAATGAAAGAAACACTGACATGCACTGATTTTTTTTTGGAAAAGGAGGTGGTGGAGAACCTACCTGCAGTTGTATCATATGAAGGATGTGGAATAGGTCCAAGAGTAATGGGCAGAGGAAACAGGTAGCCATGCATGCAGAACTTGGGATGGGCTTGGCTGGCTGAAAAAGAACAAAACCAAAAAAGTTTGCTTTATTTTATGCAAAATTCTACTATTCAGGTAACAAATGTGCTATTCTGCAAAACCTGCGAAGCAGCCACTGAAGTCAGCAGGCTGGAGATGCAAGTACAAGGTGAGTAAATTGTGGTTAGAAAGAAAAGTAATGAGAGGGGAGATAAAACAGGATCTGAGAATGCCATCCATAAGGACCCTACCTCCATCAGCTGAGTCTGAGGCAGATCATGAAACGTGGTGGTTTCAAACTCAAATTAGTGCATATATTCCCATTGCTGTTTTCCTCTAGAAAATTGTCATGCTCCCTGAAAAAGGCTAAGATATTTGGGTACTGGAACAAGCTACTTTCTGAGACCTCTGGTTTGTGAGAAAGGGTAGCACAATTAGACTGCAAGTGCCCCATCAATATTAATACCACTGAGGCTTATCATGATTAACGGTAATAGAATGAATGTTAAATGAATTAATTAATGATTGGCCACTTATTTAAATATGTTCTCCAGCTCAAAGGAACACTTTATAATAGGTGGACATTAGTTCATGCTAAATTGACTATGGAATACCTATTGAATTAATTATTACATCCATGAGAGCAGCAAATTAATTTCCCATGATCAATTCTATTATAATAAATACCTAAAGAAGTAATACAAATTTGCCTGTTATCAAAAAGAGTCATTTTACTTCAGGTGACATGATATTATATAATGTATTTCCATATAATGTAATTAGATGGTAAATTCTGTCTCTTGAGCCTTCTTTTTTTTTTTTTTGCTACAAAAAAAAATCTGTATGAAAAAACTCAATTTCTCTACTGAACAGTGGCAGGAACAGTTTCTAAAAGATTTTATACCGGGAACAGAGGTCAGGGAGTGAGGGACACAAAAGTCATCTGAAATTTTAATCATCATGGATGAGTTTATGGTGGGGACCTGCCTTATTTCTCTACAGATCCCCTGTGCAATCAGGCTCCTCGCGGCCCCATGCGCATCTTTTAGATGACCAAAGCAGCCCGGGCGCAGTGAAGCCCAGTGCAGGGGTAGACCTGGCCTCCCGCAGACCTACTTTAAGACCTAATAAGATTTTTGCTTTCCTCCTTGGTGCTTCCCCAAGGTTGCAGCATCCAGGGAGTCGCTGTCCTCTAATAACTCCCCGTGCGTTCAGCCGGGCCGGTCGGCTGCCGGCGGAGGCTGGGCCAGGCGCTGTTTGCTGCGGGGCGCCTTCGTTCGGCTGCTCTTTTCAGTGCGAGCACCCGATCCACTGGGCCAAGACCCTGCACTTCATTGCACATGGGCTGCCAGTCAGCACCAACTGGTGTCTCAGAGTGAATTTCACCTTTTCTTTCGATTTCTGAAGATGCGAATGTGCTTCCAAAAAAAAAAAAAAAAGAGATTTTCTTGCATCAACCTCCTATTTGGTCACAGTGAAAGCACTGCACATGCGATTTCAGTGACCTTGAAAACAAAACAGGAGGGATTTTTTTTTCTTTAAAAAAAACAAACAAACAAACAAACAAACACCCTTGAGCGCCTAAAGACATGAACACATTTGGGTATGATTCTCTATAGAGAAAGTTCTGAGCACCCCAAGGTGATTGCATCCATGCACATTCAGCTTTATCCTTCTTGAAATCACGGAGAGATAGCAGCACGCAATACCCTGCTGGCTGAAAACACTAATAAAAAAGCAAAATTAAGGACAAAAAAAAGCTATAGGCTCAAATATAGCAGTCGTTCAGCTGAACTCAAACATGCAGAGATTATAAGGGAGAGTTGTCCTTGGGGGTCGAAGTCATCATCCCATGACACTTTGTAGGTGATATTTTAACAAGCAGTGAATGATTCCTACATGACTGACCCCAGAACAAAATCCAACTAAAAATAAGAAAAGACGCACAAAAAGAGTGATTCATGTTTGCTTTTGATGGCAGATGACAATAGTTAAAAACAAAAGGAATAGACAACTTCTCCTCTACGGAAGCCCTTGTTTGGCCGCTTGCTATTCTGATTATGACTGAACTCTAAAAATACAACGAGGGGAATCAGAGGCTCTCAACGGCAGTGCTGACATGAACCTATGGCAGCAACGTACCCAGGGGTGTTAACAGCAACACCGACCGGCGATACTCACTGTACCAGAAGCTCCAGATGGTCCCTACGTCGCCTTCACCAAAGAACCAGCACCGCCAGAAGAAGCCCTCATGATGGAAAGTAAGGATCTCCTTTCTGACCTCGGTCAGTGTTTCGGCCTACGGAAGAATAAAGAACAGGTTGATCGGGGGGTGATCGCTGCACTTGCAGAAGAATTCCTTGGCAACAGCCCTCTGGTTGCATTATTTGCTGGAGGAACTTGTTGTTTGGGTTGGTTTGTGCAGAGCTGGGGGATGCAGAGATAGCTGCTTCACTGGGTTTCCTGCCTCATCGAAATTACATGCCAGAGCAACGTTTTACCCTCTAGAACTGACCCAAGCAACAAGACTCATGTTCTTCCTACTACTTATACTCTGCAGGAGCCATGTGTGGTCCCAGAGGACAACCCAGCTTTAAAATTCTTGCTGGGCCTCTTCTAAACATCTGCCCAAAGTTTTTCTCCTTTCTGTCCAGCTGCCTAACCCCCAGAAGCTGTACAGAGTTTATGTGAGGCAGAAATTACTCTCTGTATTTAGCAGTCTTCTCATGAACCAGGCTAAGACCATTGACAAATAGTCCTTTTCTGGTGCATCTGCTTCAACCCACAGACCAGACCTGCAAAAGCAAATTTTAGGTCTTTCCAGAAGGGAGGATATTGCAGTATAAATCCTGGATTAGTTACCAAAAACTGATTGTCACAATTTGATAAAGAAGGCATAACTGTCAAAAAATCAGGGGAGAATAGAGAAACCCGTTACAGGATTAGACCCCACAGCAGAGAAGTGAAGAAAACAGCTGGAACTCAATGGGGAGGTATTGGATGATAATTCCCTTGCCTTGAAGTCTTCAGGCCCCAAGTTACGGCAGCTTCTGGAGCTCTGACCTGACTCTCCTTTTACTTGCAGAACAAAATCCAAATGATGAGGACTGTGCGTCATCGGATGATGTCCGCTGACAGGGTCACTGCGGCATGTTTAACCACTGTTTGGCAGAAATCCAAGATCCTCATTGTCTGTTAGGGATAGACTTCGCCAGATTAAGGAAAGTTGGAGAAGGTAAAAGCACAGTCTGCTGTACAGAACCACCAACAGCTGTTCAAGCGTTTGCAACAGAAATGAAATATCTCCGAGGAAAGAATAAAAGCTGTACCTATTCTGGCCTGCCACTTTTGAAGTCACTCTGCCTCAGCAAGAAGCAAACTAACGCTGTGCCAAGAGCACATGTGAGCAGCCTGAGATGTTTGTTTTGTGCAGTGCAACATCTCTAGTCACTTCAAAAGACAGCAGCGCAAACAACAATGTGCAACGGTCAATGTCATCGTTTCCTAAGGGCACAAGAACTGCTCCGTGCCCTGCACTCTGCCCCACCAGCCTTTCATAGCACCGCTTCACATAGCAAGGACCACGTCTTCTGCTTGGCGGTCATTCCATCGTACTTCTTTTCAGCAGAAAAAAACAATCTAGAAACATGATTCAAGCAAACAGTGCCCTACATTTCATTATGAGATTCTGGAACTACAGAGAATGTTTCATGCTGGCATCCCAACGTTACCAAACGTGGCACAGCACACCAGGAAAAAAAATCAAACCAAACTTGATTGAACTTGGAAATGACAAAAAAGGCTGGAGAGAACAAGGAGTTTCTGTCATTTTTTAATTGAAACCACACATTTGTTGGCACAAAAGTATTTTTGGGGAGCAGGAGGTTCAGGGAACTGATCTGGTTGTTATTTCATTGAACAGTTAGACAGTAGCAAGTTCAGCTAAAATTAAGCTTTTTAAAAAGCTCTATAAGTAAGCAATATTAAAAGTAACTATAGGAAACATAACAAAACTGTCTTGAAACTTGCATTTCCTGCTAGCTGAAATCCTATATTAAACTTAATTTTAGAATATATAGACCTTTTCATGTTAGATGGAAACGAATTCTTGTCTGCTCTCTTTTATGCATTTGATGTTCACTTTTGTTTTCTGTCTGTACTGCAGTCATATCACTTGAGATTTAACTGATTGCCAAGTTCTGCACTTTAAAATATGATCTATTTTTAAATGAAGAAACTACAGAGGGAAAAATAGTTTAATGGCAAATATCAGGAGATATCTTTTGTTTTTAGAGGCAAATGCTGTCAACAAGTAAAGCTATTACATTTTTGTTTTTCATTCCCTAACATTAATATCTGTCAGAACACAGAAGTGCTGATTTTAATGGTTGCTAGAGATTGCCTCAGTCGAATGCTAGATGCTACGAAAACACTGGTTCTGATTACAAAGTTAGCTCAGGCTGAGCTTCTACATTAGTGGGTCACATTCAATAAGCACAAATATTATCACAGATTCAAAACTGCCAGCACCCAAATTTAGAGTAGTCGTGTTGGCCCTAAGCATTTTTATAGCAAACTGTTCAAATAA